TCCTGAATGAAGGAAATGTGTCCAACTTACACAAGTCGAGGAATTTTAAGGATCACTGTTCAGGGGAGGAGACGGCTCACTTGTTAAAAAATTAATATTATCTGTATAGGGTGCAGATTTGGACTTGAAACCCTTGATATTTTAACAAATGGTAAGTGAAGGAGAGGAGATGCCTAAACTTTAGAAAGTATTATTCACCGACCTCAGGTGTGTGTGTGTGTGCTTGCGTGTGTTTGTTTACAAAAAAATGGGTATGTCTGAATACCACTGGTTAGTGTGATTTTGTTATTTTCTAGCAATACATACAATTAAAAAGTATTTTTTAGTAAGAAAATAAAATAAAAATGCGCCTAAATAGGGATTTCTTTAGCTATTTAGGTGAAATTTTTTAATTTTGCAGTTAATTTGTTGTAATTTACAATAGATTTGGTAACAGGGCTGAATGGTTGATGCCATCGCCACTACATTTTGTGTTAAATCAATAAAATAGATTAGAAAATCAATAAAATAGAATAGTCTGTTACCATGGTTATTGTAAGAAACCCTGTTTGCCATTTTTTAATATATTTTTTTATTTTATTTAAATATTAAATATTTTATATCGTCTTATTTGTCTTGTCTGATCCAGCTCCAAGTATAACTGAGTCTATCAGATTTAATCAAGTGAAATCAAATGCTGACAAATGCAAAACACTACAAAGGACCTTTTCGGTAAAACCAAGTCACCAAGCCTGTGTCTCCCTTATATTAGCTTTAGAGACACATGCAAAAATCATATTTACTTATATTAACAAAAATAAGCCATTTTTAGTTCATCAATAGGGCAAAAGAAAATAATTTTATCAATTTTTACACAAATGATGGTGTGCATTCATGAAGCACAGCCATTCAACCCTGTCACCAAGGTTATTGTAACCCTGTTAGCCTTTTTTTTTTTTTGTAATATAGTTATTTTTTTCTTTATTTAATGTTTATTACTAAAAAGCGCACATGATTTTAACTTGTATTCAATTGTATTGTGATGTGTATTCAGACAACTTTTGGCAACAAGGTAATTTATAGTTTACAATAAATTTGGTAATAGGGCTGAATGGTTGATGCCGTCAAATCAATAAAATAGATTATGATTATTTACTTGTATTAAGATAAGAATTTTGGTCTTATATCGTCTTATTTTGTCCTTTTTGTTTTTAGCCATTGAAAATACTACTTGTCTTGTCTAATTTATTCATCTGATCCAGTTCCAAGGAGTCTAAGTGAGTCTTTCAGATGAAATCAAGTAAAATAACATGTTGACAAATGCAAAAGGATCTTGCAAAAGGATCAAATGCAAGCCTGTGTCTCGCTCACATTACAGTTTCGAAGGCCGTTGACTATAGATACACATGCGGAGATCATAAGACACTTGCAGCTGAGAGGCACTGATGTGTGGAGCTTCAGCATTCACACTCTTGAAGGAGCGTACGAGTAATAACGTCACAGTCCATGAAAGGAAAACATGAAGAATGAAGCGTGTCTTCTGTGGAAAAGCTCCTCATTGGGTCTACGTGTTTCACTGCGTGTTCTTTAGCCCAAACGGACAAAGACCCCCTTCATGAGACCTGCTGGTTTTCCCTTGGGTTGAGGTGTGTGTTATGCTTGAGGTAGGGTGGAGTTTCATTGAGCTCAAGACTTTTGAGTTTCTCTCTCTTCTGCAAGTCCTGCGGTCTGGCGTGTGTTTTGGACAGTTAGCCGTATGAGAACTGTTGCGTTTGTTGAACCACGCTCTAAATTTATAGATATTTTGGTACTTACATTGGTTTAGGAATGACTTGCTCTTCTTTAGATGTTCATTTATTATATATTTTGTCTAATTGTATGAGGCCTTTATTGTACTCTCATCTCTGTTGATTTAACTGTTTAAATCCGTTCCTTAGAATTCCACTGATTTTTTTTTTGTTTTTGTTTTTTAAATCCCAAAAATGTAAGTAAAATAATACAAGCAGAGTTTAAGTTTGAATGCAACACATGGATCTGGTTACTTCACAGCTGAGACAGACAGAGAAATAAAAATAGTCAGTGTGAGAATGCTGGTATTAATGTGCTGGTGTTTAATGCCAGTCGATGTCTGACAGATGAGGTTGAGTGCAGATTTTCTTGGTTTTCTTGTGTTTTCTGGGCCAGAGAGCAGTCGGCTCCTCTTCCTCTTACTGTGGCCGCTCTCTTCTTTTCTCTAAACTATTGATGCCTTGCACAGCATCACAGCATGTTCCCTGTGTCGGAAATTCACTCAACTCCACAACTGAATGATGATTAGTTTGTCAGTAGGGCAAAAAAATCATTGCAGAAATCATTTTATCAATTTTTACCCATGGTGTGCATTCATCAAGCACAGCCATTTAAACATCCAGGATATTGTAAGAAACCCTGTTACCCATTTTTAATGAATTGTAATATATTTGTAAAATATTTTTTTTCTTAGTTTAATGTTATTACTAGAAAGCACACATGGTTTTAAATTGTATTCACCCATGTATTTTGTATTCAGGCAGTTTTTGGTAACAGGGATGAAAAAGTGTGTATATATTCAGACATGTATTTTGTATTCAGACAACTTCTGGTAACAGGGATGAAAAAATAGTAAATACCGTTAGTAAAAATGGTAAATACCGTTTGTGTTCAGACAACTTTTAGTAACAGGGATGAAAAATAGTAAATAAATTCAGATTTGTCATACATTCATACCACTATTGGTAACAGGGATGAAAAATAGTAAATAAATAAATTCAGAAATGCCTTTTGTATTCAGACAACTATGGTATCAGGTAGGGCTGGGCGGTATGACGGTATATATCGTTACCGCGGTATAGAAAATGTCAACCGTAACAGATTTTTTTATTCCGTGTATACCGCGAAATGCAAATAAGTGGGCGTGGTTAACTCGCGTGCAATGTGCGACTGAAACACTGAGAATTGTAAAAAGAAACACGGAGAAAGCAGATCAAGAGGATCCACAAAGGAATTACATTTTCTAAAGGGTTGTTGTTGTTAACGTGATATTTTCGGGGGGAAAGGCGCAGCAGTCACTAGAGCAGCAGTGCAGCACCCAGGCTAGATTAGTGCATGCACGCTCGCAACGGGGAAAGCTGGACAACAACAGTTATCAATATCGTAACGAATAGAAATAACCTTAAATAATGTATAGTTATCTGCATCTTTCCGTCTCTTATGTATAGTTTTTAAACACGCAAACAGCTTGCCGCCCGTGGTAATGAACAACCTGCTTGTTAAAGGGAATGTATAATCCTGTAGCCTATCTGAGGCAAAATTACTAAATATGCATCGCGAGTTATATATTTCTAACTCCAAACAATTGGCCACCGAACCAGCTGATAAAATCTTTCTTTTGATTCGATACGTGATTACAATTTGACACTCGAGATTAACCGATCGCATTTTACTGATGCAGAAGACGCGCGCGTGCACGCACTGAGGGAGCGCGGTGTTCACCGGGCGGGCTATGGTCAAATAATGACGCAGTTACAGGTGCGTATAATTTAAACTAGGCTACTTTGCCAACACTAACAGTAGCTGCTGTTCGGTTTTCAAACTGCTGCTCTCCTTCTAGTCACTTCTGAACTTCTATTGATTAAAGCGCAGGGTGACGGGTTGCCAGATATCACAAAAAGAGCTAAACAAGCCGCTTAAAAACGCAGTGTAGCCTAAGCAGACATGGCAAAAATGTACCGGGGAACACATTTAAACAAGTAGTATTACTATCCTACAAAATTAAAAGGAAGTAACTAATTTATCATGAATAGAATAGTTCAATATAAAATATTCAGATATTATAAACTGATTGATGAAGTAAAGCATAACATGAGATTGAAAAATGATTCAGAAACACTTTATTTAAAGTTTAATTGCACCTATGAGTTGTATTTAATATCAATCAGTTGGGGGCAGTTCATCTAAAAGTTGATGAGTGTGTTTTGTTTATATTTAGCTATCTAAATAATTTACCAAATAAATAATTTACCAAATAAATAATTTACCAAATAAGAGAAAAAGAAAACAATGTGAAGTACTTTTCATTTCTAAAGTATTTGGGTTTATTTAATATACAAAGCCCTTTTTGTCGATTTTTCGAGAATAACTACATATATAAATATCTACATCGTGAAATATATCGTTACCGTGAAATAAAATGAGTCATACCGTGAAATAGAATTTTGGTCATACCGCCCACCCCTAGTATCAGGGATGACATTTTTTTGTAAATATATTCAGAAATATCTTTTGTATTCAAACAACTTTTGGTTACGGGGATGAAAAATATTAAAGAAAATTCAGAAATGTTTTGTATTCAGACAACATCTGGTAACAGGGATGAAAATAGTAAATAAATATATTCGGGCATGCCTTTTGTATTCAGACAACTATTGGTAACAGGGTTGAAAACCTGTCAATAAATAAAGTAATTCAATGAATTCAGACAGACTATTGGTAAAGGGGATGATAAATAGATAGATAGATAGATAGATAGATAGATAGATAGATAGATAGATAGATAGATAGATAGATACACACACACACACTTTGGCCTTCTAAGGTGTACTAACAATATTTTTGTGAAGATAAAGCTCATCCTATCACTACCTTGTTAGACAAGAGTCCCTTTGATCCAAAGCAACATGCAGTGTAATTATTAGCTGGACGATCCTCCGGAAGCGTCCTGGGGTTAAGGGTCTTGCTCAAGGGCTCAATGCTGACCTCCGCTTCATTGTTTTCCCCCTGGTTCAAAGCAGAGACCTTCTGATAACAAAGCCTGACCTTTAACCGCTAAACCACACAATTGTGATGCTGCCTTTTCTCTTAGCACGCTCCCTTTGCAAGATATATTCCATTTTGTTGCATGTGAGAAAGCACATTTATACTGCAGTTATTGAATCAGTGTTGGGCTAAGTATACATTTAACTGTCTGAAGGGAGAGAATTGACAGCGTGTTTTCTTCTTCACAGCACGGGCCGCTTCGAGGTGCTCGGCGGAGGCAGTCTGCAGATCTTCAATCTCACCGAGGAAGACGCCGGTGTGTACAACTGTCTGGCAGACAACGTCAACGGATCCATCGAGGCCCAGGCTGAGCTCACGCTGAGAGGTAAGCTTAAACCTCACTTATAAAGAACTCAAATATATAAAAAAGAACTAAATGAATCACTTTTTTACCTCAAAAATTACCCATCACTGAGCTTACTTAAAGGAGAACTCCGGTCAATTTTAACATTGAGCTCATTTTTTTGTACATTTGGAGTGCTGTCAGTACAGACAAAAACGACAAAAATCGGTGTTGCCTACACCGTGTTATCCTCTTTTTAAAATTCGCACCCTGTTGACTTCAATGGGGCAAGTTCTAAACCTGATTTTAGCCTCTTAACAACCTTAATGTGTCATTACAAGTGCACAGCCATGTGAGTGGTGTTATTAAGAGTGACCACGGTGAATCTGACTGCAGTAGATGTGCAAGATATTAATAAAAATGATGTTAATTCAGCCAGCTCACATAGTTCGAGTTCGCGCGGGCGATCATTGGTAACTAATGATCGCGCGCGCGAACTCGACAATCGACTACTGTGGACTTCGAACGAAAACAGGAAGTAAATACAGGTATGTGAGCTGGCTAAATTAACATAATTTTTATTCATATCTTGCACATCTACTGCAGTCAGATTCACCGTGGTCACTCTTAATAACACCACTCACATGGCTGTGCACTTGTAATGTCACATTAAGGTTGTTAAGAGGCTAAAATCAGGTTTAGAACTTGCCCCATTGAAGTCAACAGGGTACGAATTTAAAAAAGAGGATAACACGGTGTAGGCAACACCGATTTTTGTCGTTTTTGTCTGTACTGACAGCACTCCAAATTTACAAAAAAATGAGCTCAATGTTAAAATTGACCGGAGTTCTCCTTCAAAGGGTTAGTTCACCCAAAAATGAAAATGATGTCATTAATGACTCGCCCTTTAAGATATTTTAGATTTAGTCCGAGAGCTTTCTGTCCCTCCATTGTAAATGTATGTACGGTATACTGTCCTTGTCCAGAAAGGAAATAAAGACATCATCAAAGTAGTCCATGTGACATCAGTGGGTTAGTTAGAATGTTTTGAAGCATCGAAAATACATTTTGGTCCAAAAATATCAAAAACTACGACTTTATTCAGCATTGTATTGTCTTCCGGTTCTGTTGTGGATCCGCGTTCAGTGCCGCCGCTGACGTGTGTCTAAAATATATCTAAAATATCTTAATCTGTGTTCTGAAGATGAACGGAGGTCTTACGGGCTTGAGACGACATGAGGGAGAGTCATTAATGACATCATTTTCATTTTTGGGTGAACTAACCCTTTAAGCTGGACTGTGACGCTATTTTCTTCTGGAAACAAATGTTGTTGCATTATTTTCCTGTTATCACTGTAAAGCTGCTTTGAAACAATCTGTATTGTAAAAAGCGCTATATAAATAAAAGTGACTTGATCGTCATGTCACACTGTAAGCTCTTTCCTCTAGTGCTGTACAGAGGAAGTGTTGCATTTTCTTCTGTAAATCGATTGCACGGTCTGATCACACTTCAGACATGTTTGCAGAAACACATGTATGATTCTCTGTAATAGCACTTCTATTAAAGTGCATGATATTTGATTGTGTGATGATGAAAGGGACTGTTCAGACAGGTGTAAAATTACAAATCGAATAGAATCTGGACTGTAGATTTCATGCAGATATGTGGTGTGTAATGAGCTTTAGCCATCTGTCTGTCTGCTGAGAATTGATCCTACACTGTGACGAGATGAAAAGAGGAAAGATACCGGGAGGGAAGCCGGCCCCTACTTTCAGGCCCTTACTTTGGCCTTTGTGGGTGGGAGAGGTTTTTTGTTGGAGCGATAGTATAGTAAATCCAACGGCTCACAGAAGAGGTGCAATGCCAAACTCAAAGCGAGCTCCTCCCAGGATCCAAGCGAGTGTCAAGCACTCTCTCGGTTCTTCTTTTCACGTGGGCGGTTTGCTGATCATTGTGTGTTGTTGCAATGCATTTTTGGTGTGAATGATATGACAAAAATTGGGAAGAAATTTGGTTCTGCTTCAGTGTCCTAATTAGGAATCTAGTTCAGGATTTCAATGGATGATCCCTTGTGAAAAAGAAGTGTGCTTAATTGTGCACTTTAAGAATGTGCATATTAAAAAAAAAAATGTTAAAACGGTACTTGCAGATAATACAATATTAATTAAATAAAAGGCCACTTAAGTGTTCTTAAAGAGAGTACACTTTCATGACGGTCTCTTGAGTAGAGTAATTAAGTTTTACTTTAAAATACATTTTAAGTCCATCAAGTCCATGTTAGTGATCAAATTAAGACGTGAAATAAGTTTAGAGCTAATCAAGGATCTAGTTTTTATTTTAGTTTCAGCTGTTTTGCTCCACTTGGATTTACAAATCAGGGATTAAAAATATAACCTGTGATTAAAACCTTCATCTAAGTATTTTTTTTCCGCCATGATGGATTCGTTATTCTTCGTTATTGTGTAAAAAAAAAAAAAAAAAAATTAACCTCCTCACTTGTAAATTTAAAGTTAATCCCAAACTGAGATTATGGAACAGCTGGATTAAAGTTAATCTATCCTAAATGTAAATTAAAACCAGGATCAAAATGATGATTTAAATGTAAGTTTTTTTTAAGTTTAAAGTTTTGCGCAACAGTCCAATTATTATAAAAATCTTGATTTAATGATCTTTTGTTGTGCTTTAAAGAAGTACACTTACTTTGATGTGTTGACTGACACTCAAAAGCACATTTAAAGTACTTGATTATAATTTGAGTATTCTTTGATAATACACTTAGTTGATATATATTTTAACTTCATTATTACAAAAATGTAATTGAAAATATATATATTTTAGTTTACCATAAATGTTTGTTGGTACATTCAACAATGTACTTTAACCGTATTTTAAAGACAACAGAATTTAAGGATGTACTTAAGTCCTACTTAACATGTCAAGTTCAACTAATTGCAGTTCATTTAAATTTACTACATTTTCATTTAATTTAAATTAACATGTATCGGAAAACATTAAAGCAAAAATACATGTATAGCCACAAGACACGATGCATGTAGACATGAGTTATAATTGCTGAATAAACGGTGTAATATTTATAGATCTAAATCTTTCAATCTTTCAACTTCAGTGACACGTCAAGCCAGTAAACTTGATAAGTTTTGCATAATAGTAACCAGAAAGGTATCATGTTCCCTCACAGGAATTACTTCGGAAACACACAACCAGACGTTAGTTTGCCTAGAACAGTAGTTTTTGCTGAATAATTCATGCTTTAACACAAGCATGAGATTCACACTTCTGCTTGCAATCCCTCTGGAATCCTGGTCTTGTTTACTCCCATTGCAAGTTATTGTAACTGTGTGTGTTTGTCTTAACAAATCATAAATATTTTCTGTGGTAATCAGCATAATTCTATTGATAGGGCAGTCATTGAATCCCGAATATTCTTGTGTTCCTCTTTCAAATGTGAAATAAAACGCTCATGTCTTGTTTGCTCATATTTTAAATGTCAAGCATGCGTAACTAGTCAACATGCAGATTGATCCGGGAACCTCTGCTCTCTATGTGTTTGTTATACTGTAGGTGAAATGCCCAGAATCTTATTAAACTTTGATGACTGTCTTTTCTGTGATACACAGAACATAAGCGAGTATAGGCTGCTGTTATTTCTCAGCCTACTCTGAAATTCAGGGTAGATGATTGGAAACAGGAGTGTGTGTTGAGCTTTGACATTGTCTGTAATACAGCGGGAAACCTGAGACATGCTCATGAATGCAAGTGAGGCAGTGATAAGAGCTGTGTGGTCATTTGAGATGGTTTTATCATCACTATAATCTCCATGTAGAACGTATAGGGAACGTAACCGGTCTGTGACCATGAAACAAATGCTCTGGCTTTATCTTTAGCTTTTCTTTTGTTGTCTCAGCACACTTTCCTCGCAATTATTTCTTAAAGTCAACATCAAATCACAATTATTTACTTTCTTAATACATGCTCCTAGTTGGGATGCACGAAATATCGGCCACCATATCGGTATCGACCGATATATGTTTATTTTTAACGTTATCGTTATCGGCCCGATAAGAAAATTAGGCCGTTACATTAAAGCCGATAAGTAATGTATTATTTTCTTCAGCTGAGACACTTCAGATGCGCACTGTTCGCCATGATGGTTTATGAATTGCTTTAAATATGATTGGAATCACTTCAGGAAAATACAATAAAGTGCAAACATGCAAGTCTGTCATATAGGATACATAACTTTATCATAATTGTGTGATCGGGACATTTTGTTTTTGAAATCAGGCACTCAAAAATTATATATAAAAATTTGGATTTCGATTTATCGGCCATTATATCGGTTATCGGCTTTCAAATATAAAGAATTATCGGTTATCGTATCGGCCAAAATTTTCATATCGGTGCATCCCTCCTAGTGTTATTGTGCATGAATCACTAGTACACATTATTTCAAAAGAATATCTTCATTAATCAACCTGCTATTTCTCTGAAATGACTTGGATTGGCATAACCTAAGATACGTGAAAGTGTAAAATAATGTTAATCAAATAAAAGCTTTTTAAACATGGTTTTAGGACACATTTGTAAAATCTTGACAATAGTTAATGCAGAAAATGTATTCTGGTGAACGTTAATGCAACGTGAACAGTCCTCCACAACCAACTGCAAAAGAGCGATCAGGTCTGACTCCATTTTGGTTGAAAATGCTCACTTTTCACAATTCCTGATAGCAAAATCATGTCTTGCTGTATCGTTTTTCACACTAGTACATCAGCTTAAGGAAGTCAAATAGGTTTTGAATTCTGTTTCGTGTTGACTTTAATATGAAAACTGGCTTAGGGTGGTTCTGTTGTTGTTCAGTAATAATGCAAATGTTTGTACAATCACACATCTGTATATTTGTAACATTTGTACAGTGCTTCCCTGTGTATGTGCTCCTGGGCTTGAGATATACTGAGGGATTGAAACATGAACCATCTGTCCCGTGCGGAGCTGGCTTGAGCAGGAACCCAGCAGTGTGTGACAAGTGTTTTTCAGCAGGTTGTGTGTGCAGACCTCAGCAAACTGCAGGAGCACAAACTCTCAGCCATTCATCACATTACCTTACTTATCTTACACATGCTAGATCCAGATATTTTACATCCAAAAATCTGCATTCTAGCTCAGCTTAGCTTTATGTAGCCATTCTAGCTTTGGATGGTGATTTTGAGAATGGATACTGACAATCACAAAAATATTTATTTTCATGAAAATTCATAATCTTTATTTGCTATTTTTCCCCTTTGCTCATTGTGGACCCCCCCGTTCGCTTACATTCAATGCTGTATTATTATAAACATTTTTCGTGGTCTGTTTTACTGATATACGGTATTTATGCGATCAAGAATAACAAAAACAACAAAAGGATGGGGACATATTGGCAATATGTGTCAGGACATAATGAAAATTCATCTGGTCCTCGGCAGGTCTTAAAATGAGGTAAATACAACCTCCGATGAACAATAACACATGACCTAGCTATTACACTGTGTCATTATTTATTTAACAAAAGCTAGGCCAAAATGGAAAAGCCATGCGTGACAAGTTAAGTACACCCCTACGTCTTCCATAAAAATTAAGAGGGTAAGTACCAGTCAGGCGCTGCTAATCAAATGTCTTTGATAAATTGATCATCAGCAAGTGTGATCAGCTCTAAATAAGCAGAAGTTTGGGCAGTTTGCTGGTCTAGAGCATTCAGGTGTGTGTTAAAACTCAATGCCAAGGAGGAAAGACATCGGCAATGATCTTAGAGAAGCAATTGTTGCCGCCATCAATCTGAGAAGGGTTATACGGCCATTTGCAAACAATTTGAATCGCATTGTTCTACAGTGAGGAAGATTATTCAAAAGTGGAAAACATTCAAGACAGTTGCCAATCTTCCCAGAAGTGGACATCCCAGCAAATTCACCCCAAGGTCAGACCGTGCAATGCTCGGAGAAATCGCAAAAACACAGAACTACAATTCAGACTCTACAGGCCTAATGTTTAATGTTAAAGTTCATAAAAAAGTACAATTAGAAAAAGAACGGACAAGTATGGCGTGTTTGGAAGGGTTGCCAAGAGAAAGCTTCTTCTCTCTAAACAGAACAAACTCTGAACAAACCTCAAGACTTTCTGGAGCAATGTCCTTTGGACAGACAAACCAAAGTAGAGATGTTTGACCATAATGCACAGCGCCAAGTTAGGTGAAAACTAAACACAGCATATCAGCACAAACACCGGACACAAACTCTCCAGGACCTGGGCACCTTCAGTCATCATTGGGTCGACCATGAACTCCTCTGTATACCAAAGTATTCTAGAGTTAAATGTGAGGCCATCTGTCCGACAGCTACAGCTTGGCCGAAATTGGGTCATGCAACAGGACACTGATCCCAAGCATACACCAGCATATCTACAACAGAATGGCTGACAAAGAACATACTCAAGTTGTTGCAATGGCCCAGTCATATTCCAGACCTGAACCCAAATGAAATGTTGAAGAGAACTGTGCATAAACCGATGCTCACAAACCTCAAAGATTGGGCCAGAACGATGCGAGAGACTGATACTGTCATACAGAAAACGATTTCTTTAACTTATTGCTGCTAAAACTGTCTCTACAAGCAAGTGAATCATAGGGTGTATTTAGTTTGTCACCCATGGCTTTTCCATTTTGGCTTTTTTTGTTGAATAAATAATGACACAGTTTAATATGTCATTTGTTGTTTAAAATGACTGTGTTAAAAAAAAGAAAAAAGATATATATACACACACACATGCATTTTGTGCGATTTAAGGGTATGAATCATGCATATATGTGTAATGTTTTGTGTGATGGGATGTGATGTAATGCATGTGATGTGTAATGTGAAATGCTTGCCTTGTGGTTGTGTGGTAGCGAATCAGGCACAACACAGAGCAACCATCCAATTACATCCTAGCAGACAGACCTGAATCATTCTGCTGCACACTACCTTGTTATTGAGATGATCTATGTCATGTTTATCTTCTCCAACATCAAATAACCTCATTTACTAATGGCAAGCCTTTGGAGGTTTTGCGTTCTCCTCTGGCTACACATTTAGCCACATCCTGGTGTTTAGGGATAGGATATTTAGAGGTTGAGAAGAGTCAAAACTAAGCAAATTGTGTTGTTTTCCGAAGTTATTAATAGTACTAAACTGTAATTTCGATTTTTCTTTGCTTCTCTTCTCAGCTTCCCCACAGTTCCTGAAGAAACCTGCTAACGTATATGCTCATGAAGCCACAGATGTAATCTTCGAGTGTGAGGTCACCGGCTCACCGGCTCCCACCATCAAATGGGTGAAGAACGGAGATGCCGTCATTCCCAGCGACTATTTCAAGATCATTGTAAGTTGCCAGCTAGCTTTACTTGAGTAAGGAACTGCTGTTGACCTTTTGTCATGAACATTTGCGATACAGAACAGTGAGTACATATGGACATTTCTTCTAGGTGACACTTGACAGCAATGTTCTTGTTTGCCTCTTTATAGAAGGAGCAGAACTTGCAGGTGCTGGGACTGGTCAAGTCAGATGAAGGTTTCTATCAGTGTTTAGCTGAGAATGACGCTGGTAATGTGCAGTCGAGTGCTCAGCTCATCATACTGGATCAAGGTACGTCTAAGATTGAATATTTTTTAAATATTCCCTTTGTAAACCCTATTGGAAAATCCAGCTAAAACCAGCTTAAGGTGGAATCACCTGGTTCTTCCTGCAGGGAAGTTCTTATATTAGTTTTAGTGCACTCTCATTACAAAAAGTGTTCATAACGTCTCATTATAGTCTTGGTATAGTGGTAAGGGTGCTCCGATCAGGGTTTTTGGGGACGATTATGATCACTGGACGCAGTATTGGCCGATACCGATCACCGAAATAAATAATATATGATAAATAGAAGGCTTGAAATAGACCCACTGGGGTTATTGGGCTATTCTTAACAACAATGTATTTTAAAGGGGTCATATAATGCCATTTTTGTACAAGCTAGTATGATTCTTTAGGGTCTAAATTAAAAGTTTGTAATATACTTTAATTAAAAATTCTCATTAGTATTGTAAGAAAACACTTATTTTACCTGGTCAAAAACAGCTCTGTTTTCAGCACGCCGTTTCAGTGCATATGACTTTAAATGATAATGAGCTTTGCTGACTCCGCCTCTCTGTTCTGTGCGTACACCGTTTGTAACACAATAACCATAACGCGTTGTTCAGTATAAAAGTGGGATTATGAATTATATTGAGAACGCCATACATAGAAAACATGCCGTAATGTACCCTAAGTGTAAACCTTAGACGCATTAATTGTGAAGCGTGCAGCTAGCGATTTGCAAAGATTAATATAAATATAATATTAATATAAAGTTTAATAAAACGTTACACTCACTTCACTTGTTCTAGAGGTTCAGCAGGAACACGAATATCTGGTACCGATCGTTTTTTCATGAGCAGCTTCTTAGCAAAACCAGCTTTATACTGATCCTCGTTTATAAAGCAGTCTGGTGTGAAATGATTCGCGCAAACATGAGAGCATTGACGTTGCTCGTGGGGAATATTCCCTTCGAAAACAAACTCAGCCACTGCGTCTACAGCGGTTCGGATTTAGGAACATTAAAATGACTGTGTTCGTTATTACACCCAAGAACAGAACACCACAATCGCTTAGACGCCATTCTGCTCATAGACAGTGCTCCAGCATATCAACAATGAGCGCGCCGGTCCGCGCAGACTATGATTGACAGCTCTCACGAGCGAGGGCGGGTCTGTGTTGAAACGATGCTGTCAATCAACAATCGTGGGAGGGGCTTCCGAGCGTGTGACGTCACAAAATCGAACGGCTCAATTTGAGGCAGGGGAAAACATATAAGGAGATTAAAACAAAAACACTGGATGGATTTTTATCATTATATGATGGTTGTGTACAGGCACTGCCAACACACATTTCAGTACAATCAACTTGTAAAAGTGCATGTACCATTATATGAACCCTTTAAGTATAAAAAGTTAAGAGATGAGAAAGTATGAATTAACAACTCTTTGTCATTTATTTATCCGCAAGCAACATGTGCAATATATAGAGGTGATTAGGAACATCTTATAGCTTAACAAATATAGCATTCCTGTAAAATAAAAAACAGAACAGTCTTTATCTACAGAAACAAAACAACTGCATAGTCTTCACTTTATAAATTAAATATAGATTCATCAATCTACTAAAGAGCAGTGAGTGATTTCTCTTTATCTAATGTTGTTTGATTAACATTATGTCAGCAGGAATATTAGGCTGCTGTCACTTTAAGGGCGAATGCACGGATCCAATATACTGATACACATACAACTTATTTCCCAGCAGTTTATGTTCACTTAAGACATAATCAATGGTGTTTAAGCGAATACTCACAAAACCGGGCATTCTGACATATTTCTGTGTGTATTTAACCGTTTAGGCGCCAAAGTTCACGTTGCTTGTCCTTGTTCCACTCTGTCTCGGCACGCACGCACAGAAAGCCGCTTGGGTATTACTTTTGTGGCAGTTTTAATAGCTCTTTTTATTATCGAGCACAGCAGTTTAGCAACAGTAGACTGCATTTTACGACAATCACTAATTTGGATGTTAAATTTGGGCTTTTAGGGAGGAATGATAGCACACTGCTGTGAAGGAAAGAAATGCACTAAAATCGCACAGCTCTAGTTTGTTGCTGTCGTTGCGATGTCCCCGCTCTCCACAAAGATCTTGCAGAATTATTGTGCTTTTCAGACACCTGGTAGAACTGCCAGACCGGTGAACATACAGTACTGAAGCAATTTTAGCTGCGCATAGAAAAAATTGTCTCGCGAGTTTTGCGTCATCTCATCTTTATAGGGACCACTGATTAAACTATATAAAGCTATCATCGGCTGATTACGATCAGCGCCCGGTCAATCGGAGCACCATTAAATAGTGGTCCATTTAGTTTTACAACAATATCACAACTATTTCAGTGTTTTGTTTAAAAAAAAAAAAAAACTAAACATCTCAGGGAAACTGGAGGATTTGTCCATGTAGATGATCTTTCTTTAATATGAATCGAATTGAATGTAGTGTTGGTGTAAGTCAGGTGCATGATGCCATCTGCCGCAGCTTCCTCTCTGCCACCTGTTCAGTGTGTGTGTGTGTGCCAGAACCGGAGTTTCGTGTAAAATGTGAGGTTGCAGTCATGTTCTGGATGGTTGCTGGGATATTATTTACCCGGTCAGGAGAGCCAACTGCGAAGTCTCTATGATATCCTGGTCCCTAGGTCTGCCAGGCAAAACTCTATAGCATGATTTTTGAGATATTATTCCTGTACATTCATAACTGTGAAGGACAACACATTGCAGTTAATAATAAAGGGCTTTGTTCAACTCCCTGTCCTTTCGTATGAGCAATAGAAATAGTGATGATTGCCTTAGCAAGGAACTCTAAAAATGTTAATCCAACCATCAGATTGTCACTCTGTTTCTGTGAAAATAGTATATTTCTGAGATGAAGCCAGTGTCTCTGTATTCTCTATGGGCGTTTGATGTAGTCTTTGCTCCTCTTGTATGAAAATGGCCTATAAACACTTTATTTTGGCAGGCTTCTCAGCGTGTTCTAGTTAAAGCTGCTAGACGGGTCTGATTGGAGGCTTTTTGAAGCCTCACTTCTCGCTGCCATCTGGACTAGCACATGGTGAATAGGAAAACACGGTTGCTTATCTTCACTTATTGTTAGAGCTGATTGCTGAGTTTATTAAGTTACAGACAGGGAGTTTGTGGCACAGTTTGTGAAACTTGCTCATTATAATTTTTTTTGTAAGGGAATAAATGCTCCCATACTCATTAGGGTAATGCTGCGTTGTTTTTTCCCCTTAGCTCTAGATTTGACATGCTGTGATTATCTTAAGCACAACTGTAGTTGCTGAGATTTTTATGTAGATTTGCTCAGATTTTCTCAGAAAGCACAGAAAAGTTATTTTATTCTGTGGTTAAAAAAAAAGGAATTTATGAATGACAACTGAAAGAGACCTCATAACATCCTAGCAACCACCCATTACACCTTAGCAACTGCTCTAAAGACTATTCGGAACATTGTAGTTGCACGGCAACACTATGGCAACTATTCATAACACCATTGTATCTGTAACAATGTGCTAAAGACTACTTAGAATGCCTAAGCAACTGCATAGCAACACCCTGTTGACTACCCATAACACCCTATCAACCTCTTAACAAGGTATTAAAGACTATTCAGTGTGTCTACATTGCAACACCCAGACATTGCAACCACCCATAAAACCCTTGCAACAACAAAACAATGTGCTAAAGACTACTCCGAAAACCCTAGCAACTGCATAGCAACACCCTGGTGACCACCCATAACACCTTAGCAACAATGCACTAAATTATATTAAGAACACCTTAGAAACCACATTGCAACACCCTGGCATGGCAACCACCCATAAAACCCTTGCAACAACAAAACAACGTGCTAAAGACTACTCCGAAAACCCTAGCAACTGCATAGCAACACCCTGGTAACCACCCATAACACCTTAACAACAATGCACTAAAGATTAATAAGAATGCCTTAGCAACCACATTGCAACACCCAGACATTGCAACCACCCATAGCACCCTTGCAACAACAAACCAATGTGCTAAAGACTACTCCGAAAACCCTAGCAACTGCATAGCAACACCCTGGTGACCACCCATAACACTTTAACAACAATGCACTAAAGACTATTAAGGAAGCCTTAGCAACCAACCACATTGCAACACCCTGGCATGGCAACCACCCATAAAACCCTTGCAACAACAAAACAATGTGCTAAAGACTACTCCGAAAACCCTAGCAACTGCATAGCAACACCCTGGTAACCACCCATAACACCTTAACAACAATGCACTAAAGATTAATAAGAATGCCTTAGCAACCACATTGCAACACCCAGACATTGCAACCACCCATAGCACCCTTGCAACAACAAACCAATGTGCTAAAGACTACTCCGAAAACCCTAGTAACTGCATAGCAACACCCTGGTGACCACCCATAACACTTTAACAACAATGCACTAAAGACTATTAAGGAAGCCTTAGCAACCAACCACATTGCAACACCCTGGCATGGCAACCACCCATAAAACCCTTGCAACAACAAAACAATGTGCTAAAGACTACTCCGAAAACCCTAGCAACTGCATAGCAACACCCTGGTAACCACCCATAACACCTTAACAACAATGCACTAAAGATTAATAAGAATGCCTTAGCAACCACATTGCAACACCCAGACATTGCAACCACCCATAGAACCCTTGCAACAACAAAACAATGTGCTAAATACTACTCCGAAAACCCTAGCAACTGCATAGCAACCTTAGCAACCAACCACATTGCAACACCCTGGCATGGCAACCACCCATAAAAGCGGCGTTCTAAAAAATGTGGTGCTCAAATTAAAATAAGTTTAAAAATTTTATAGACATTTTTATAGATAAGTCACCCAAATAATTCTGAAAACTGTCATCATTTTACTCACCCAAGTTGTTCCAAACCTGTATGAATTTCTTTTTTCTTCTGAACACTAAGGAAGATATTTTGAAGAATGTTGGT